GAGAGAGAGAGAGAGAGAGAGAGAGAGAGAGAGAGAGAGAGAGAGAGAGAGAGAGAGAGAGAGAGAGAGAGAGAGAGAGAGAGAAGGGGGGGGGGCTGTGCCAAGCTGTCCATTATGTGACTGCCACGTGCTACTTCGTTTCTTCTTTGCCTTTTGCCTTCCAGGAAATGTTTCAAGATGCACGCCCGGCATTATGGCTCTCATGTCAATGCTACTCTCCCCCTCCCGAAAAGCAACTGCCAAGCAGATTGAATGCTGATTGTTTCATTCATACAACGCAAAACCTGCTTAACATCAGTGTCAGTCCTATAGTTGGAGGCGACTTCCAACAACTTCCCCGGGCCAATCATCAATGACATTATCCGAGCCCACCAAACTGAGACTTACCCACACGCACATGCACTTGCACATATAGAGTTGAAACTCAACAAGTAAGCACGGGGCATACATGCAAGATCGGTTGACCACAAACATATCCACAGAACACTGCAAACCAAGTCTGAATCTGAATCTTAGCAAAAACATCAACGGGACAACGGACAGGATTTTCTTAGAAAAGTCCAGAGTTCTTGCACAGCACAAAACAAAAATGATGCTGCAAAGGTAACGGCTCCCCAAACAAAACGTTCAAAGAAAAAAAAAGGCTTGGTGGTATTCCCTCCTGTTTTCTTGCATGCGGGTTTTCGTCTGCTCTCAGGCTCTTCTTTTTCTTATTGTGAAAGAAGTGGCATATGATAGGGCAGTTCCTTATGCTTTTTCTTTCGTTTTTGCTTCCTCTTCTGTTTTTGCGGGCGAAGCCGCAACGGTCTAGTGTCAATAATTGGTACCAGTCCCTGCACCTACTGAAAACCGTCCTACTCGAGACTTCGGAGTTAGTAGTAAACTGATGAACGGTTGTTGACAGATCAGTCAGCAGTGCCCTTTGGATATGCAGTCCTGCTGGTCAGTCTTGTCAGTCAGTGTCAGAGTTGCAAGTCGGTCGGAAGACGGTCCGTGTTTGTCCGAGACGGAAACTAGTACTCCTTTGCATATTTGGGTAGGATAGTGAATGGTCCGCATCCTTTGACCATTTCTACGATTTATATTATTTGTTTGAAAAGAGCCTTCTGGAAGGGGGGATGGGAATCCAATCACCATAGGGAATAGCAAATTACACACAGGCCCTCAGACTGTCGTTGAACTTGAGATTGAAGTCGGGAAGGCTGCAGAGGCTGCAGAGGCAGCCAGGATGCAGTTGGAGCAGTTGGAGAAGTACAGTTGAGACAACCAAAGGAAGTGAGGAAATAAAACTCTTCCTGGGATAAAAGTTTTCGATGGGGGACAGATTGTCCATCATCGAAACCAAACTGTCCTCCCTTGCAGCTTTCTTTGGTCGTTTTGTGGCAGATATTATATACATCTCCCTCCCAGGACTGGAGGGCCTTTGCAGCCTTCACAAGAGCAACATTGGATCTGGAGGCCAAACTCTAAATCCAATCCACTTCACAATAGGCAAGCACCTCCCCTTCTGAGAGTTGAGAAGGAGCAAAGGGATGTGGCACGCAATAGAGTTAAAGACTCGCAGGCTTTAACCGGAGGGGATTGACTCCCTCAGCTGGTCAAGGTAAATGAGGCTTCCCAGACCAGACTTTTCTGACTTTGGCTCAGGAGGGGCACAAATCAGGTCCAGAGACAGAGGTCCCCCTCTCCTACGGGGTCTGGCAAACACCCTCCTAGCCGCAGAAGCAAGTCTGCCTAAGTTTGCTAAATGCCCAACTAACCTCATGGGACCCTTCCTGGAGCAATCACTACCTAAGTTTGCTAAATGCCCAACTAACCTCATGGGACCCTTCCTGGAGCAATCACTACGCTGAACCTAACCCAATCGGCAGTGGACCCTGCTGAACTGAGCGTCCTTCTGTTGAAGAAGGAACAAGGTCAGTTTGGTCGTCCAACTGATGGAAACCAGCTCCTCGTGTAGTTACATCGAGCTTTGATTCCTTTGCTGATCCCACGGACTTGCATGTGCATCACCTGTGCGTGAGAAAGAATTTGCTTAGTTCCGGGCTGATTCAAGTTCTCAAACAGTGCTGATGGACAGACTGTAAATTGGACTGAAATCCATCTTCTTTCCAAGATGGAGTTTACCTTGAATCCTTATCTGACTACCCCTTTGTGTATGCTGTGAGTTGCCCTCGTTGTCTACACACGCTTTGTGAACTGACGATAACCTACATTCATTGTTTGGATGACTCGGTTTTCACCTTTTAGCAGTAGCGGATGCAGTACCCAGGGTTCGAACCCTAGACCTCACCCTACCTATGTACAGTATCTGTATAGATCCCGAGAATTGAACCTGTGACCTGTGTATTCGCAGACAGTTGGTAGGTCTGTCGTAGGTCCCTAGGCAGCAGGGGTTCAATCTGTAGATCTATAGCGTAGAAGTCTTAGTGAGTTCCGGAAGCTTAGCTGTAGACCTTCTAGAAGGTAGGCAAGTGGGCAAGTGG